TCTGCCCGTTGATGTGAGGTTCGCCGCCTGAAGCCCCATCTGGCAGCACTGACCTGCCCCGGGAGGTGGATTCGCCCCTGAAGCCCCGTCCGGCGGCACTGACCTCTGCCCTTGGTGACGTCCTTCAGCTGGAGACCGCCGGTGCCGGCGCGTACCGTCGGCGGCCCGCCGCCGGTCCGCGGGCGGGCGGCTCGCTCGCAGGTGAGCAGAGCGCGGGTTCGGCCTGCGGACACGGCCACCCCGCTCAGCCCGGCCGAGGTCAGTGGCCGGCCGGCGGCAGACCGGCCGCAGCGCGTGGAGTCACCATCGCCGCCGGCGGAGACGCAACACCCCGGGCCGACCCCGGACGGGCCAGGGCGATCGCGGAGGCCAGGGCGGCGGAGAGGAGCTCCGGCTCGCGCGCGCCGGCCGGGTCAGGCACAGCAGGCCGCCAGCTGCCGATGACGGCTCAGAGGATGAGTCATTGAGGCGCCTCATCTGCCACATCAGCCTGTAATTGTGTTGGCTATCCCGCCAGTCCAGCGAACCATTGGGAGCATCGGTGGCATGGAACGGGGACAATGTGTGCTACTGGACTTCGCTAGAAACGTTTTATCAAACAGGACAATTTGTGGCCCAGTGCGGTCCACTGAGAAAGAATATGAACCGAGCATTCGGGCAACGCACGTTTGACAACGATAAGGATCTGCACCGGGGCAATTCGCCGTCCAAAGCGAACCCACGCCCAGCGTAGGCGTGGCCGTGTTCTCTACGGCGCAGCTCCAGCACTCAAACCGGCTGCTGCCGCGGCTGGATCGGCGCGCAAGTCCAGCACTCAACCTGGCTGCTGCCGCGGCTGGATCGGCGCGCAAGTCCAACACTCCACCTGGCTGCTGCCGCGGCTGGATCGGCGCGCACGTCCAGCACTCAAGCCGCGCGAATGAAACTGGTGTGGATCGAAGGCGCGTTAGCGAAATTGAAAAATACTAGAACGGGCGAATGAATGACACAGTCAATGGCGGTGCGCACTACACATTTTCTAACAACCCAGATCTACGGCCAGAAATGCAACCGCACATTGTACATCTGGCGGCACGATCGTGCGCACTGAAGGGCAGAACTATGCGAGCAAAGCGTGCAAATGCGTGCTGACACATGGCGAGTTCCGTTTTCCTCACGCGCCAAGGCGCACCTTTCTTCCCAGCCAACCGCGCCGTGCGGGCGACGCTCGGTTCCCCCGTCCGGGCCGCGCTGGGCCGCCGGCACGCTGTCCCGCCGACTCCGTCCGCGCGCGGATCAGCGTGCGCCGGGTCGGCGGCGTACTCACGTGCGGAAGCAAGGGTCGCCGCTCAGCAGGGTCGTAGACAGCACCACCTTGAGCATGGAGTTGTCCTGGCGGTGGCGCAGGTCGTGCTCCTCCAGCAGGTAGCGCCGGCACTGGCCCACGCCGCCGGCGAACTCGGCCAGGTTGATGGTGGCGAAGCCGAGCTTCTGGTAGGAGCGGCCGCCCTTCGCCTCCTAGGTTGGGCAGAACGGTACGTCAGAGCGCCGGAGCGTCAGAGCATCAGAGCGTCAGAGCGCCAGAGCACAGAGCGTCAGAGTGTCAGAGCGGAGCGCCAGAGCGTCAGAGCGCCAGAGCGCCAGTGCGTCAGAGCGCCAGAGCCAGTCAGAGCGTCAGAGCGCCAGAGTGTCAGACCGTCGGAGAGTCAGAGCGCCCGAGCGCCAGTATCAGAGCGCCACAGGACGGTGACGCGGCCCGTCGGGCGGACAACAGAGTAAGGGGACGCCGGACAAGCAGCGGGAGGAAGCCGCCGCAAATCACCGGGATGCATTCCGCACTGCACGTAAACAAGCGCGAAACGCAGATAACGACCGAGTGCTGCAACCGAGTGGATTGCATCGCTGCAAACAGTGTTTTGCAACACGACATTCCCTGGCGGTAGCCCATACTTCAGTGTCAGGGGAAATACGCGGAGTCAAGCCAAGGCCTCTCACAACGTGCCGCGATAGCGTTGGAGTTTGCTCCTCAGTTGTGGTGCACCTGGTGCAGTATTGGAACACGCTTTAAAGGGAGCACGCTTAATGTTTTCGGCTTTCTGCATTTGGATCTTGCAACAGCTTTGGTTTAATTATTCTTATCGATCCCATCGATGGCTGTGCGTGAACAAATACAATCATAAGACATTAACCACTCAGCGGGCAGGAGAGCGCGAACGTACTGGCTTATATGTGGCGAGAAACTGCGCGCTAGGGATATGGCCATTGTTTTGGTTGCTAAGCAACGTAGAGCAATCACATTTCCTTAGAGCCTGGTGCAGCCGATTAATACGACAAATTTATTGTTCCTCATCTCAGTATATGTAGGCCGGCATGAATTAATCGCGGCGCATACCAGCTGACCAGTCTTACTATTATGCAACGCCATACACCCGCAGTACTCAACTGAATGTAACCGAACATCAACGTCATGGCCGCCGCCATCGCCACGTCCGCAAGCTGCTGCCAGCTCTGCCAAGCGAAATCCTCGAAAACTCACTGGCTAGAGCTAACGATGCCTTCTCAATGATGCCGATGCGTTTAGTGGTGAATTTTGCTCGGGGCCTACCCCATAACCTCGTTTTTAAATACGAACCAAACAAAAGTTGGGGTCTGTGACAATATCTAATCAGTGAAAGCGAATTGGGAAAAACAAATGACACCGAAATTTTCATTTGCAATTCCCTGCCACCCGACGTGAACAGTTAAAGGTCTTAATTTGACCAGGCAAATTTCTTTTAAAGCGACAATGACAACAAGACCAGAACCGCTGCCATTGCCAAAACCATTCAATACAATGTTGCTACTTCGAAGGAGTGATTAAGACATACAAGTCATACACCTCTTACCAATCGACAACATCTTGGGAGCTGAGCAAATCAAACGTAATGACCACCGCAACATCTAGTTTACCTCCTGCGAGCCAAAACACAGGCGGGTGCGCGATGGAATATTACACCTCCTAGAACCCACCACCTTCACGGCGGAAGGGGCAAGTGTGTTCCACGGGCAGTGCGTCCCGTGATTATCCGGCCACCGCACCTCTGGCAGCGGGCAGGCTCCCAGCCTCCTGTCAGCCGCGCACGCCACCTGGTCCGAGTCTTGGAGCCGCTTCACACGCTGGCGGCCAGCCGACCAGAGCGCATAAATACGCGGCTGGCGGAACCAAGGCCGCGCATACCGGCCGGTCCGGCGGCAGCGGCGCGGCCGAGCCTCCGGTGGGCATCGGCCCTGGACACGGACGCCCACAACGTTCGCCGAGCCGACATCGCTCGGCGGGCAAGTGAGCATCCCGGCTCGACTGCGACGCCATTGACCGGCCATTGCCGCCACGATCAGCGGAGATCGGCACAACGGGCCATCAGACTGGGCCGGCCGACCGACCACCGCCCGGCTACAGCCAGACGCGCCGGCTGAGGCGTGCTTATTGTCAGAGTCTGGTGCAGACCGGGCCCGCTGCTCGGGCGCGCGGGCCCGCCCCACACGGCGGCCGGGTCACGCTGGCGTGGGTGGCGTGACATGTCATGAGGACGCCTCCCCACGCGGGCACGGAGTCACGCTGCCGATCGCTTCCGGTGGGGTCTCGGTAATGAGGTCCCCAGGGAGTCGTGCTGCAGGTAGCAGGCAAGGTCACCTGCCCCACGTGGGGAAACCAGGACAAGGACCGCCAGCGTTCTTTGTTACCGGAGCCCCATAGAAGCGAGATTCACACATGGCGCAGTGTACAAAAGGATTACATCGCAGTGAGAACACCGAGATTGCCGTGTTTCATGCTGTCTAAATGTGGATTCTGAATGCCCCGCACATGCTCACTCTAATCATATAAATTCGTAAAGCCCGAAATCGTCCATTTCAATAAAGCATGAACACAGGATGCCGCATGACAACGGCGAAGGGCTGTGGCTGGAGCCGGACAGCCGGCACCAGGCGGGAGCGTCCTGTTCGTGCCGTTCGATGACCTGACATCGGACACCACGGCCAACTCGTGAGAAGACCGACAGCCTGTTGACACGTCCAACCAAGAGCGTGGCTGGCCCCGGACGGCCCGGAGCGTGGCTGGCCCCGGACGGCCCGGACCGTGGCCGGCCCTGGACGGGGTCAGACAGCCCGGCGCGTGGCTGACCCCGGACGGCCCAGAGCGTGGCCGGCCCCGGACGGGGCCGGACGACCCAGAGCGGCGGCCGGCGAGACGGCCTCCGCAGCCTCGCGGCCCCGCCGCAGACGGCCTCCGTTTCCAGACAAGGATCGCCCGGGACGTGACGCCCGGCACAAACCGCCGCCAATCAAACGAACGGCAGTCACGTAATGTTCGGCCCCATCAGCATGACAACGTGATGGACGATTCGGGCCGGCGGGGGCGGCGGGAAACGGGCACGAGGCTGACAACACCGGGTGCAGATTGACAGCGTGTGGCAGCGGGCCGCCGGTCCCAGCCAGCCTTCACACCGGACCGATGCGAGTCGAGCGCAGACGGAATGCCATCCGTATCAGATCCCGAGTTTCCCCGGCCCTGCCGTACGTCATGCGGGTGACAGCACACGCACCCTCGGACTATTTCAAAACAGCCACATATGCATGTGAAACTGGCGAGGTCCAGCCCAGCCGGTCCGGGCGCGCCGGGATTTCGTCCGGGCCGGCGCCGCTCGCGCACGGGTTTCTCTCTCGGCGGCGGCGTATGCGTCGGCGAGCGGTTTCGCTTTCGGCGCCACGTGCGCCGGGCGGCGTCACATGGTCGGCCGGCTGGCTGCGGCGGCCGCCCGTCACCGCGGCGCGTCCGACGGCCCGGCGAGGTCACAGGGCACCGGCCAGCCGGCGGCACAGGGCGTCCCCACCGGTCCGCAGCAGACCGGCGGCGGCTGGAGCGGCGACGCGCAGCTGCGAACGCCGCGTGCGGGGAGGTGGCGGCAGGACGCGGCACCTGTCCGGCGGCCGTGGCGAGAGCCGGCGGCGCGCAGCGGCACTCCGCGGCGTGACAAGTGACGCGGCCTCAGTCGACCGGCGGCGGCCAGCACGTGACGCGACGCTAGTCCGCAGAGGCCCGTCGGGCCTGACAAATAACGCTCTGGCCGTCAGCGGCGGGCAAGTGCCGCTCACCCCCGCCCCCTCCCCCCCCCACCCCCACCCACGCCAGTGCATGTCGCGATGGTGCCTGACCAATGCACGGAGCGCGGCCTTTCATGCCGGCGCTTTCGCACACGTCATACAGTGAAAGCGCCTGAGTCCTACCCGCTGCGCTAGCAGCGGTGCACCCGGGTTCGGGTGTCGGTCCGGCATGGCTTTCGTGAGAACATTCACGTGCCGTACATTAAGAACACTCACATAAGTTAAACGGCTGGTTTTAGTTGTCAGCGACGCGTTTTCTTCCTTCGACATGCTTTCCCGTCTAAAAGTGTTATGACTTCGATAGCATGGGTAGGTCAAAGGAATAAATACCTATGCACGAAAACAAAGCGCCTAACCCGCTACCAGCCGACTACGCTTCGTGTTAGCAGCACTTTCATGTTCGCACCGAATGCAGGACTCCTGCTTAAAACGGATCCAAAAGCCAAACAGGCTACTGATCATCCAATACCGCAGCCCACCGACATTTTCGTAGATCAATAGGCGGGAGTGTGTGTCGTCTGGTATCATTCCTTCCCGTCACATCGCCAGTTTACTGGCGAGCGCCGAGACCGCAGGCACTGACCGACTGCTCGCATGGCAGGCAGCCATCAGCCATGCTCCCAATGCCGCCAAGGCCGTCAGCGCATGGCCACAGGCAGCCGGCGTGCCGGCTCGGCCGGCGGGTGTAACACAGACGGCGCTATATGGCCGTGCCAGGCGGCTCGGCCCGAGTCCTAGCCACCATTTGAGGCGTCCGCGTCGCCCATGGACGGACGGCCGACCGGCGCACCGAGACAACGATGGTGACGCGGTGACGTTTGTCCCCCCCCCCCCCCTTCCTCCCAACGCCTACACACGCCACCCACCTCAGGGACGCCCGGTCCCACCTACGTCCGCGCCAGGGACCAGTATCCATCCTGTGCCCTCGTCAGGGACATCGTCGTCGGTCTGTGTCCTGTCAGGGACACCGTCGTCCGTCCTGTTCGCTCCTCAGGGACACTGTCGTCTGGTCGTTCCCTCTGTAGGGACGCCGTGTCCCGTCCTGTTCCCTCCTCGCGGGCCAATGGCGCGGTCGCAACAGGGCGCTGGTGTGCAGCCCAATCGCCGCGTGATAGCCCAATATCGCCGCTGGCGCCCGCCCCGCGGTCAGCATGGCGCCCACCGACGACCCCGGCTTGATTTCAGGGAAAACATATTTGCCGTGCCTCCGACGGTGACGGAAATAACGATTTAGAGGACGCAGACGCCACGGTCGATGACAGCACATCATGACGAGGGGTGGCGCGCGGACCACCCCGTCTGTGAGAGGCAGGCACCTCTAAGATACTGAGAGCTGCACTGCGAATTTACGCGGAACACCCGCGCCTCCAGCCCAGACTGGCCACGGGACATGCGCCCGTCCCGACGGCCCGCCTGGGCCGCCCGTCACGCAAGCGAAACCCGTCGCACGCCCGGGACGCGCCGGTTGCCACACTCGCCGGCGGCCTCCGAGCACGGCGGCAGGTCACGTGTGACGCCGGCGTGACGCGATACACACGGGGCCGGCCGGCGCGGTGTCCAGACCCGGCCCCAAACCACACCGATGTCGCACCGACCGCCGACCATGCCAACGGCCCTCCCCGTCACCTTGCTCGGAGGCGCCCACCGGGTCCGGCCGGCACGTGGGGGCGGCAGCGTGGTGCGCCCGGCGTCGCCGATCCACCAGCCAGCGGGGTGCCGGCCTCGCCGTCCGGTGGCCGCCCGCCGCCACGGCGTCGCCGGCCGGGTGGCGCGGCGGCCGACTCACCTTCCTGACCGAGATGCGCAGCAGGCACGGGTCCAGCACGCCGGTGGTGCTCGGCGCCGACAGCTTGGCGCTGAACGACATGCGCGCGTTCCACTTGACCGTGTGGTCCCGCACCTCCTCCCTGGGGACATGGCGCCGGCGTCAGCGGCTTCAGGGCCGGGCGAGCGGTGGCGGTGGCGGCCAGGCGCCACCGCTGGGTCAGCTCTCTCACGTCGATGGTCACAAACCCGACACAAACACGCCAACGCACACCATCGGGGCTGGGGAGGTTTGCACACCACGTGCGTCAATCCACCGAGCTGGACAGGCCTGACGCTGGTCGACACGTCATCGGCGGGGGCGACAGGGGCCTGGGGAAGGGACAGGGGCTAAAACTCTCAGAGGTCGCGGGGACAGGGCACCGGATAAACGAGCGTTTCGTCAGAGGTCGCCCGCTTTCCTGCACGCATCGATGTTCTTTCATTGGTCGATGTTCGAAGGCCAGTTTAGATTGCGGCTGTCGGCTACAAAGGCCGCTGTGACAATAACAGCCCCAATGTTACCGGCAGCTATCGCTCGGCCAAAGTCGGCACCGAGTTCACCGCGAGAAAACTCCGCAGCCAGCCCAAACGCTGAAGTTCCCAGAAGGTGAGGGGAGCGCGCCTGTCACATCCTTCCATACACGTGCAGACTTCCGCCTCCTCCCCCCCACCCGCGTAATGGCATCTCTCCAGTCCACGCCATGCATATGGTTCCGTTCTGCGACGTAGCCTGCCCTGCTACGCCCTTTCTGTCCTCCCTCTCGTCTCGCTCCACTCCTCCGTGCGTCTGCGAACACCGCCCACAGACGCCGACCACGGCGGCCCCTGTGGCGGCCAGTTCACGGGGCGCGCTGGCGGCGTGCCCTTGCTCGCACACCTCGAGCCCATCGCCCGCGCTATCTGTCACGCTGCACCAGCAGTATCAGGCGTTCAATAATGCCGTGTATTCAGCGGCTGAGTGGTGCCAGCAGATAGGCACACCCCCGTGCGGGGAGCGCCACGCCCGCGCCCGTCGCACCGGCGCTGCAGTGGCTGCACGCAGCGTGCGCGGCACTCGTGAGAGGCTGCACCGCATCTGATCACCGGGAGATACTCTGCTCTGAGACGCTATGACACTGTCTGTCCTGTCTGACTGTCTGTCCTGTCTGCCTGTCTGTCTGTCTGTCTGTCGTCTGTCTGCTGCGCGCACGGCGACGGCGGCCGCCTCCGCCGGACCGGACCGGTTGTCTCCGACGGCCGGCTGACCTTGCACCGCCGCCAAGGTCGCGGCCGGCCGACAGAGGCCGCTCTGCGTGGGTAGGTAATCGTCGAAGCTCGTGCGTTCCGGGAGACGGCCGCCTGAGCTCGCGGCGCCGCGCTTCGGAGAATTCTGCTGGCTCACGGCGGCGTGGGTCGTCTCACTGATCCCGACACCGACCGGTGCGGATCCGGGGTCGTACCGACGGCCAGGATCGCGCCGGGCGGGGCGGGGCGGGGCGGGGCGCAGCGCTCGCACTCGGCCGGGGTCAGGGTCAGCGTGTCCGCTCCATCCGCGGGAGCCGCCACGGGATGGATGACAACAGGCCACACAAGGCCGCGGACAATGGGACTCGGCTGCTGCCCTACCGAATGCAGACGCCACACAATGGGATGAGCCACGTTCGTCCATCCTCGTTCCCGGAGCGAGAATGTTCGTTCGGCCCGGTCAGACCAGGAAGCGGCAGCCGCACGCCCACCGACAGAAGCCGCACCACTGGCCTCAGATGGCGACAACACCCACGACGTTAAACGTCGCTCGGGAAAGGCGCGGCGTTGCGATAGCAGCGGGCAATACCATTAGCATGAGACCAGCGCGAAGAGAGATGGTGATCATAATCAGCCCGTCGTCCATAATAATCAACCTGTCCGGGGTTGCTCAGCTGATCACTTCCGCCTGACGAGCCCACACTCCCCAAGACTGAATCGCTCAGATCTCACCCCACAGGCGCGAGAACGAACAGCGCTGAGCATGGACAAAACACGAAAACGCTGTGACCGGTGTAGGGCAAAACGGCCGTAAGCTCCACACAGTATCCTTTCACGGCACGGGCACTGCCCTGTCAAGTCGTTTTCGTCACCTGACGCGGAGGGACAGCGCCTGGTCCCGGCCGTCGTGCCCCCCCCCCCCCCCGCTCACGGAACGAGAGCGAGGCGCCCGGGACGGCCCGGGTGACGACCTTGACCCGCGCTCCGCCGGCTGCGGCTCTTCCCGAGCCCGGTCCGTGGGAAGAGCGCTGGCGCCACGCCCCGGGCACTGCGGCCGTCACCGGCTGCCGGGACGCGGCCGGTCCCACCGCCGCGCTCGGCGCACGCCCCTGTAAACATCAGCAGCAGGCGGCGGGCGGCGGCGCGGGACGTGATCGCGCGCCCGTCGGCGTCAGCCGTTTCTGACCGGACGAGGGCGGGGGAGGGGCCGGGGCTGCCGACCGCGCCACCGGCTGCTGCCGCCACAGCTGGGGGTATTGAGGAGCCGGGGCGGAACAGCCGGGGCCGTTAGGTGCCGCCGGCCGACCATCAGACCAGCGCCGGCCGGGCGTCTGGCGGCGCCGCCGGCGGCCGCAGCTGAACCGGATGCGACCGGCCGCGCCGCCGCGCCGGAAACAGCGGCGCCGCCCGCCACGCGCCCGGCTGCGAGGGTGCCGATTGCCGGTCAGGCCAGGCCCGGCCGCCATCAGCACCGCGTCGGCATTCGGGCCGCGGACGAGGCGCCGCACCGTTCACACGACGGCCGGCGCCTCCACGCCCTCAACGGACATACGTCCAGCCGTGCAGTCGCTGTGGGCGGACGTGACACCCGCGCTCGTCACTGTCGCGATCGCTCACAGCGGACGACGCGAGAGGCTCTCAGCGGGGCGCGCCGGCGTCAGCGACGGTTTGCCCGCTGTGAAACGGTCCCGTTCAAACAGGGGAACTGAGGCGTCAGGCAGACCGGCGCGAGGCTACGGCAACCCAAAAAATTGCTCTCATCATTTTGGTGGCACCCGTGTTTAAGCGCCCCGCAATGGGAACATACAATCGCCGGAGGAGAGCCACCCCTGGACATGGCTCCAAGCGAGCTCCATCCCTGACCTGACCCAGCGCTGGGTCTCGGCTCTTCGGCCCCTCCCGGCGGCAGGCGACCCCGTACCGTCTGCCGGCGCAAACATCCTGCAGAGCGGCGCAACTTGCAGACAGGACAACGCACGCCGTTGTCAAACGCTAAGAGGGACAAACACGCGTTTGTAAGGCTATTTGCAACGCCGAGGGAGGGAGGCGGGCGGGTTCGTGTCGCGAACGAAACAGACCGCCTGTTCGCCGTTGATGTGGCAAATGTCGTGGGTCACATCCTGGCCCGCAGCTGTCTGCTTCGCCGGTGAACACAAGTGCGGCATGTCCGTAAAGCAGACTGTGGCTTGGCAGGGCCTCAAGAAAAACACGCGCCTCCTAGTGCATGCAAGACGCCTCCCCCGGCACATTATTGCATAGCCATGTGTGATCGATACCTCCACGTGGCTCAGTTGGACCGGCCGCAGTTTTGCACCGTGCGGAGCGACCCCATTTGACGGAACAAGCAAAGTTTGTCGCGGTTGGTTATTTTCCCCCGCGTTGTAGCGGTCAGCCAGGTGAGCGCAAACTGGTTTGTGGGAAAAGGTAACGCCAACCGCTGCGATCCCTGGCAGTAAATATACGACGTGAGCGATTATATCATACTTAACTAACTCGGCGTCCAAGCATAAACAACGGTTGTTTGGCCCATACATGTCACCATGCACAACTCGGCCTCGGGCTAATGGCACGGTCGGCGCCCCGGTGGCCCGCCTTGACCTTTCGACGCGTCGCAGGGCGCCGCGACACGGGCCTTCACCCGCGGAGGGGGCGGGTGCGGGGAGGGGGAGTGGGCGTCAGTGTATTAAGGCGGCAGCTTGGTACGCCGTCAGATCAATGTATAAGCCGCCCAGCGCGCGCCCTTGGTGGCTGTAGCATACTTGCACCGCGCTAGACTCGACAAACAAGCCATCCACGACAAGCCAGGCGCAGCGATCGTCAGCGTCTCTGAAAGCGAAGGAAACGGGGCCCAGCTGCCGACACCGCGGAGACGAGGGCGAAATGTGTTCATCCGCAGCAGATGTGCGACAATTTTGGCCACCTGGTGCGCGGCAGTCCACTGCGAGATGAGGGGTAACACTTCCAGCAAACAGAATGACAGCACCCGCTAACCCCTCAACAAAATAAACCGCCGCCGTCCTCGCAATGGTTACGAACGATTTCGCGTAAGTCTTCTTAAGCCTGTGCAGAATGGGCAATTTAGACCTTGGCACCACTCACTGGCATTAAGTTCAAAGGGACACCCAGAATAGACCGCCATCCGACTCGTACAAACAGCCACATCGCAAATGGAACCTCGCAGTCGATCCTTCGATGCCTGACAATCCTATCAGTAGTGCACCGCACCGTAGGATTAATTCGAGCTGGGCTCGACTATCACCACGGCCTGCAAAGCTGACAGAGCTGAGCAGTGGTGTACTGAATCACAGCCAAGGTCATCCCATTCTCCCAGGCTTCATACAACCCGTGAAATTCCCAGAAATAGGAGAGAAGCCAAGCCATTCCGTGGCGTACACATAACTGTAAAACGCAACGCTTCGTTCCGTAGTTACGTGGGAATAGTGTGTAGCTTTTCCCCTGTCTGTCGCCACCAACGCTGCCACCGCAACCCAAAAATACGGCCACCACAGCTCAAAACCCGGTCGGCTACCCCCGTCCTGTCTGCGCCGCAGCCGAGCGCGACGGCGGTGCGCGGTGCCCCACCAACGGGCCTCCGTCCCCGGCGTTGCCGGGCTGGGCCGGGCCCCGGAGCCTTGCTGGGGCGCGAGCCAATGCCGGCGCGGTGGGGTGACGTGTGACGCCGCCGCCTGACGCCACTGTTCCGGCCGCCACGGCTGCGTGAGGCCGGCGCGGCGCCGGGCCCCAGGCTGCGGCCCGCCTCGGCGCCGGCCCCGCCGTCGGCGCCGGTTTCGCCAGTCCGGGCCGGCCGAGCACCGCACAGTATGCAGCGGAGCCCGACCAGACCACTGTGACCCGGCGGCCGGTCCCGGAGGGTGCCGGCCGGGCCGGACGCCCTTACGGCACACCAGCGCCGATGCATGCGAGGTGCCGCGTTCACGGCGGCTCGCCCGCAGTATTCAGCTCAGCCGGCCCGACCAAATCATGACGTGTACGCATGAGCGGGGCGGGGCGGGGCGGGGAGGGGCGGGGCTCACGGGCGGTGCCAGTGGGGCGGGGCGGGGGAGGGCGCAGCAGGCGAGGATGTAGGTCACATCATGCCGGCTTGCGCCCACAGCCGACGGGGTGTGCAAGTGCAAGCCTCGCCCGCCGCACAGGCTGCTCGCTCACATGCCGCTGTGTCAAGCACGCGGGCGATCCGTCCCAACAGATCACGCCGGATGACGTGGACAGGCTGGGCCAACTCGACGGACGGCACAGGAGCGCGCACTTCGCACGTGCGTGTCAGCCACTGAGGCGTTTACAACGGCAATCACTTTGAACTGCGTGAAGAGCCTGGGGAAATGAGTCGTCACCGAGCGGCAGCTTTTCCCACACACGAAAAATCCACGTTATGAAATCCAGCCGCGGCACTCCGCTGCAGCGTTCATGATTCACCGCACAGGCTCGTGGTTGCAGCACCGTCCCAGACCACTCCCCGGCCACCTACATTCAACACGTTCAGCACTGGTGGGCGCTGACAGATGCAGGCCGAGCGGACCCCGAGCCCTACCCCGCCACTGCCTTGCCTCACGCCACGCGGCTGACGGCGGCAGCTCAGCGCAGGGGCTGGTGCACCAGACAGAGAAGCGTTCGCCACGCCCCAGCCTGAGGACACCAGCTTCTCGGATGACATACCGCCTCACTGGGCGGCGCAGATGAACATGTCCGCTGGGCAGCCAATGCCGCCCCACCGTGAAACACAGTCTCTCCGACGGACATACTGCCTCACTGGGCGGAGCAGATGAATATGTCCGCTGGTAGCAATGCCGCCCACCCTGGACACCAGCCTCCCAGACGACATACTGTCGCATAAGGCGGCCCAATGAGTATATCCACTGGGCAGCCAATGCCGCCCCACCCTGAACACGGCCTCTCAGAAGACATACTGCCGCATAAGGCGGCGCACATATGTCCGCTGGGGAGTCAATGCCGCCCCACCCGGACACCAGCCTCTCAGACGACATACTGCCCTCACTGGGCGGAGCAGATGAATATGTCCGCTGAGCAGCCAATGCCGCTCCAGCCCATTGACAGCAGTTGTTTGATAATGACAGTTTGACAGCAGTTGTTTGCAGTTGTTAGAAAATGTTGTGCAACACAGAGCACAGCTCGAGATTTCGATTGTTATCATGAGGGTTTGGACCGGAAAGCATCGAGGCCTGCGAGAACAATGGCATTACAGCTGGCAGCCGTTCACTCTGCAGCGGTCACTGTTACTGACAGGAGTTGTTATTCTACATAACATTCAATTGGTGGGCTCGTCTACCCGCTGGCGGTGCTAACAGTCCCTTCAAATCAGTGGCCAAGATGGTGATCCAATCTAATCTGATCAAATCAGTGGTCCAATCTAGCTGCAGCATTCATAACAGACAGATTGTTACTTGACAGAAGAAAGCGGGGTCACCGAAACCACAAACTCTCGGTTTCTACACAGCACACCGAGGATGATCTGTGCTTAATGAAATCCCGTTATTAATGGAGAAGAGCGATCGGAAAACAGCTCGCGGTCGTCGGAGAAAGAAACAGCGAAAGTGCAGGAAAACGCTGCGCGGGGACAAACATGGCATATGCCAGCGCTTTCGACCCCTACGAGCGGACAGCACGTAACAGCAACGGAAGTAAGCGCGGCCCGAGCGGACCTGTAGAAGGGAGTAGACGTAGGTCATCCGCCTAGCCGCCACTGCCACCGGACACCAGGTCACCCCATAGGACAGCTGTGACGGCACGGTGAGCGCGACCGAGACGTGTCTGGGGCCGAGCGGGCCACTGACCGACCTGGAAGACAGCTCCTCGAACTTGCCACCGTCCAGCAGGTGGCACCTTGCAGAATAGCACGGCGTTTCACAAATGGCACGGCCGTTAGCTCAGCCAGCTCCAGATCCACCTGGAACTTGTACTTCTTCTCTCACCATGATATTCATGATGTCACTCTGCTTGGCTGAGAGTTGTCCACACTGGCAGCCTAATCCACGCCTACGGCCTGCAATAAGAACGCCAGGTTGTTACGCACCCGTGACTCCAGTGCGCACGCGGCACTTGTTGCATGGACGTGAGCCCTTTCGTGCCTTACGGTGCCATGCTAACCATGGTTGGAATATAACTTTTTCGATCTTGGGACCACAATGTCATAAATAAAGGGAATGGGCAACATTGCTGGAGCTTCAACGCCTACATTGCGGTCAGCTTGGCATGACTGATGAAAATGAGTCAAGTTATGTACTTAAAAACCACCATAACTACATCTTTTACATAAATGTTATTCACTGTTGTAACACAACATTGCCTGGTCATATTCATGGAGCATTATTGCATCATCCATGCATTTCATAAAGTTTAATCTGAGCAAACACTTAATAAATCAACTACAAAAATGTTTCTATCCCTTGCTATTATTAGCAGCCAAAATGCATATAGAAGCATATATGTTACTACAAACCTTGAAAACTTGGTGGCATTTGTGTTTTTTATCAAACCACACACAATTTAGTGAGCATATGTATAAATGGCATCTACATCAGATACATGCTAGTTTTATTGGCCTTAATGTATCAAAACTCAAAGTGTAATAAAATTATAAACACCTCCTTTAACTTGTTAGATAATCATGATTTAATCACTTAAAAAAGCATCTATGTATGACCTATTAGTGCTGATGACCTATCATATAATTATTAAATAAACCAAGGGCGTTCAAATATATACCATGATTTCTCAGGTTTGCTCATCAAACATTCCATATAGCCCACCATTCAAGATGTATATCTGGAATGGCAAAGGGATAACCACTTCACACAGTGAAGAGGCTTCATGAATATGACAGACTGGGATGGCCTTTGCCTATACCAAGGCAAATCCTACAGCAAAATAAATGGCCATGTTTCATTGGACAAAAAATTGCATTTTTAACTGATGCTTCCTACATTAATCTATATTGCCAATACAACAACTCCGATTACCATACTTGTATTAACCATTGGTATTCCTATCAGAACAAAACTTGCGTGATGATTAATGCCCCAAGATATGCATTTTTGATCTTGGACTAGAGATTAGTGAGAAAAAGAATATTTGGCACATCAACAGAAGACACATCTAACTGTCCCCACATTTACAAACACATCATCATACACTGGCAGCAAGGACTCAACACTTGATCACCCAAACTGCATGTTTTTGTTATTCAGTCTGAGACCCATAATTTTTTCATTGGATGCATTTCTAGGGATCAGTAACCACAACAGGCAGATTATATGTTGGCATAAATCCTGCCCCCATCCAATTGTGAACTTAATTCAATTCCAGACAAACAATAGTATGCTGTAGCAAAAGATTAGTATGCCAAATCTACTGATCTCTATTCTACCCAATGGCAGTGACTAACTTGACCTTTGGTGTGACCATCACCACAGGCTGCAGGCCAATCCTGACTGGTTACAGGTCTGGTCAGGGCCAGAAAGCAAACACCTAAATCAACTTGAACCTGCACATCCTGCCATTGGTAGATGAACCGACAAAACGGTGTGCTGACCATATGTGAAAGAGTGTCTCAGAAAGAAGGGAAGCCGATACACATTTTGGAGTTGATTCTTTGCATGCATCACTACAGGGTTACCCTGGTCCTACCCCCTTGACTCTGACGGAGTGAGCCCCTGAAAAGACAAATGAATGTATTTGGAATGAGCACTGCAGTGCCATATGAACATGTACCAACAAAACAGCCCCTGTAATTTAACTCAATATTATGGGGTAAAAACCCTACCATAGCATTATTGTTACATCTGTGGCTCATTCTTAAATAAAAATATCCCACCACATTCTATTTCACACACATATCAGTCTTAACTCATGACTTTACAAGCGATTACACTGATGCTCAAGAACAACCGTGAGTTCATTCTGCTGTGTTTATTACACTGCCCACTGATGACCATCTCCACTGGCTACAAAAACACATTGCTTACAAGTAAACTACTATGGTGTAAGGATGCAGCCAACACTTTGCTTGTTGATAATAAGAAAGTGTGCATTAATCCAGCTAGACTTTTTTGGGCAAAACATAGTTTACCAATATTTTAAATGCATGACATGCACCACACATTAAGATGCAAGTGCAACACAGTAAACACTTCTATGAAGATTGCTAAAACATTTCATATAGTGGGAGCAAAACTTGATACTAACAGTTTCATATAACATCACTCAAAATGGATCACTCGCTACAAAATAATCAAACTTGCAGCTGGTTTTCAAAAGGCACCAACACATTTAGCCTGCAGATGGTACAAATGCACAATCTGCCTTTTGCCTGGCAGGGTCAAGTAATCATGATGACACACATGTTGTCAAGAACATGAATATTTCTGCGTACAACACATGTTCTGTGAACAGTATACCAACCCTGTGGTGGTGCAAGGCCAGGATTGACCTCAAGAACAGGTTGGTCCAAAAGTTGCCTGTGTGCCAATACCAACTGAAATGGCTAGCCTTTTTAGAACTTATGCAGGGATGGAATTCACATGACATTTAGAGATATCAGCTGACCCAACACTGATATCCACACGTACTTACCATAACTGAAACGCAGGAGCACGTCAGCAATGCACTTCTCGAACGGTGCGTGACACGCTCATCCCAACTTGATCTTGCCACGCAGCGATAAAATCAGTCCCGTCGCTGAGCACCACGGCTAGAACAGGACAGCACCGCGGTGGACCCTATCTTCAAATAAAACCCGTGCACACGAATCATGCACAACACACCCAGTCGCAAACGCACCGCGATCGCCTCGAAACACCAAATTCACGGCTCGAAATAATGCCGTTGCCGTAAATCAGTAACAGCTCGGGGAGAAGTCGTCAGATTGCTACCATATCCTCGAAAATACTAGTGCATTTTTTAAAGACTTTTGTTTTGCATCGTCTTCGGGCCTCTATCCTTGAACAGATAGGTGACACCAAGGGTATAAGGGGCGTGAGCGTAAGGTGCAGGCACCTTTCAAGGCCAGTGGATGGGACCTATTTGTTTACCACGGCTGCTCAATGTACGTGAAAATGACGTATAAATTTGGGACTCGTCCGACCAATAGACGTTGGTGCTACCGGGAGTCTTCTGTTTGGACCCAGCCACTAAACACTTGTTGATTCACATCACCCACATTTCAACCACTTCTATTGCTTTAGCAACAGCACGGGATCTGCAGTAGTCTGCACCCGAGGGCCACTGCATAACGGTGACCCGGGATCGCTTCATGCCGGCATGCCTATGCGTGACCTAGAGGTCAACATTGATAGCAAGGTACGCACGCACGCACACATACTGCAACACCACACGCGCGCACACACACACACACACACACCACACACACACCACACACACACACACACACACAACACAATCACACCACACACACACCACACCACACACTACACACACATGTGTATGTATGTATTACATATGCATGTTATCTAGTAATATATATATATATAGATATATATATATATAACTGTAAACTGTTAGTATATATATGTTCAATCCCGAGAGAGGAGCCTGCTTTTAAGACGGTTGCATTGCGATCTGACCAATCTCATGGACTTGCAAACCCCGATGTGACGCCACTATTAAGGCTTATGGTCGTTTTGAAATAGTCTCATCGTGATCCAGACATTGCAAAAATGCTAGAAGGCGACGACCGTTCATTTATTATTCGAGTGTGGTCCTCCAGCAAACAATCCATTGCGATGTGGCAGGTGTGTTTACCACAGCGTGATGTGGTCGTTGGGAGACAATCATCACTCGACGTAGTTGACGCATGTGCGGAAGACGGTGGCGGTTTGGCGCTCGTCCAGGGGCGCAGTTTCACAAATGAGCTGGGGAGTCTGAGCAGTGGAAAATTACCCGATCTAACGCTCAACCCCAAAATTGCCAATAGACATGTTTCCCCAGATTTTGCCCACTTTCTCACAAAGGTAGGGAGAGGGGGGGGGGGGGGGGGCTGCAAGCCAAAGTTGGGAGACTGAAGCCTCCCCCCAACTGAATAGAAAACTACATTCCTGCGTTTAACATTGGGCTTCCTGTGCCTGTGGCGCAAAATGCTTTGGGGGATTGCAGAGCTTATAAGGGTTGAAAGGCGTTTGGAAGTACAGCGTGGGCGTGAGGTGTGTAGTAAGGCGCGTTGCATGGATGTGAGATTTGAGCTGGTGGAGTTGATTTGGGAGCACAATGTGTGAGCCATGCCGCAAAATAATACGAAATGATTCCGGACTTTTCTGAGCAAAAACTGGTTTTTATCTCCTTGCCACTTTTTCACATTCCAAAATGTGATACAAAGAGAGCATATCAAAGAAAGACAACCTGGCCCAGACCTGTATTTGCATTTAAGTCAAGGCGTGTCAAAACTTAAAACTTCAGTTCAAGAAATGGCATCGCCGTCAGCATGATTTTGCTCATTTTTCGTAAAGATCAAACCTCAATTCCGCCATGTTTTTGCCTTTAGGCAGAATGAGTCCGTAAGGTTATCGTGCAAGCAGCCATACCTTTGTGGACATTTTCCTCAACAACAAAGCAAAGCACGATATGACAATGCACGTCTTACCACCTCGCGATGTCATCGCTTTTGCAGCCGCCTGAAACCGCCAAACATATTCCATGAAGAAATCTGCATCGCCGTGTAGGATTTCGTGGCTGGCCAGAGCATGATGTGACTGAGCACGATCATCTGCCAGGATATACCAGACCATCGGGGTTTCATAATCAGGGACTTTTCACTGTGATGGGGCCGTCTGAAACGACTGGTGACCGTTTTCGGGACAAAGGCTCGAGTTAACGTGTTCTCTTGGACCATGGAATGGGGACAGAGGTTTATGAAACCATGGTATGTTACGATTTCTTCGAGCAAGC